TTGAGAAACCTCACCTTTTTTTTTTGAGACTGGGTCTCGCTCTTTACCCAGGCTGGAGTGCAGTGGCGCACTGACAACTCGCTGCACCCTCAGTCTCCCGGGCTCAAGCAATCCTCACACCTCAGCCTCCCTAGTAGCTGGGACTACAGGGGCAAGCCAGCAAGCCTGGCTAATTTTTGTAATTTTGTTGCAGAGACGAGGTCTCGCTTTGTTGCCCAAACTGGCCATGAATTCCTGGGCTCAAGCGATCGGCTCGCCTCGGTCTCCCAAAGTGCTGGGATTACAGGCATGAACCATCATGCCGGGCCTGAGATACCCCATCTTAACACCAGCAAGTGACTGCAGGGTTAATAAGGCGGGAACATTAATTCAGACTTTTCTTTGTCCGGGACCGTGAGCCAATCAGGAAGCGGGGCGTGGGCGGGGCACAGCTGAATACGCCCCGAGAGGGGAGACTCCTTCCCCGCCTCCGCCTCACGGGGATGTGTCCCGGGTGCTTCCTAAGACAGGGTGAAAAAAAGCTTGGGGCTCTGGGACCTGACGGCTGTGTCCCGGGTGCTTCCTAAGACAGGGTGAGAAAAAGCTTGGGGCTCTGGGACCTGACGGCTCTAGTGCCTGAGACGGCTCTAGGGACTCAAAGTTCAAGTTTCGAACCCTGAGCAGCCCTGCCTCCCGCGGGCAATTTGGATTCGGCTGGAACTCCGCACACCCACCCCGGAGCGCGGCCTTTACTGGGGGATGGGGTTACTGGAACGTGTGCGTCCTCTTTGAAGTTGCCAATCTTGGTGTTTTGTTTTGAGACAGAGTCTAGCTCTGTCGCCCAGGCTGGAATGCAGTGGCGCGATATCGGCTCACTGCAACCTGCGCCTCCCGGGTTCAATCGATTCTTTTGCCTCAGCTTCCCGAGTAGCTGGGATTACAGGTAGGCGCCACCACGCCCGGCTAATTTTTGTATTTTTAGTAGATACGAGGTTTCACCATATTGGCCAGGCTGGTCTCGAACTCCTGACCTCGTGATCCGTCCGGCTTGGCCTCCCAAAGTGCTGGGATTACAGGCTTGAGCCACCGCACCCAACCCCCAATCTTGTTTTAAGGTTCCTGAAGGTTTGCATACAGAAGGCTTCACACCAGTCGCCAGCTAATGTCCCCATATCTTCCGGGCTAAGTTTCTCCCGGAATTTGTGCCACGTGTTTCCTGGGGCTTCAGATACGCTCTACCAGGCTTGTACCTGGGACCCATGAGCACCCTGTTTTCAGTGTCCAGTCGTAGCAGCTATCATGCAGCCGGATCCCCAGGGGCACCAGAAAATTCTGGTCTACAGAGGGCGCCCCCTTTCTACCAAAGTCTGGCAACTCTCGCTCTTCTGAGCCCCCGGCCTCGTAAGAATCGCAAACCCCCAAAGTCCAGGTCTTCCTGCCGTCTAAACTTGGGCGCCTGTGTCTTACCTGCTCAGGGGACTAGATGGGCTTTGCCCGGTGCGAGGGACTGACCTCAGAGGACAGCAGGCGGGAAGCAGCCACCGGGGCGGGACACGCGGGCGGACAGGGTGGCTAGGGCTGGGGCGCCGCCCCAGAGCCTCCGCGCACACCCGGAAGCGGCGCGAGTGGAGCGGAGCCTGGCGGGCGTGGGAACCCAGGCCCGGCCGAGGCGGCCAGGTTAGTATAGAGGGGAGGTGGGTAGGTGGGCTCCCCAATGCAGGCGGGAGCCGAGGTGGATCCTGTCTCCGACGCGTGGGCGCGGCGCAGATGTCACCGGCGGCTGCTCTAGCCAGCTGGTGACGGCGGCCTATTGGGCTGTTCTCGTGGGAGGCGGGGGGCGGTACGGAATTTGGTGCCCGCAGGTTCCTTTTCCCTGACAGGGCTTTCGAGGGGCAGTAGGGCCCTGCAGGAGAGAGGGTGGGGGAGGAGGGGCTGGTTCTGAACACTCCCTTGAGCGGAGACCCCTCTGCCCACCCCAGTTAATCGCAAGTGCAAAACGCCAGCTTGAGGGTGGGCTAGTGGGAGCCCAGTAGCTAGTGGGCTACTGGAAGCTCCCCTCCAGCGCTCGGGAGCAGTGTAGCTGAGTAGGGGGTGTGCCTGGCCGGTCGCCAGGAGTCGCAGGCTTTCAGTTCTGAGCCACTCCCACAGGCGATCCCGGTCCATCCAGCCAGAGGTGGGTCTTCTCCCGGGACTGTTAGGTGTTCAAGGGGCACCGTGCTTGGCTCGCCCCTGGAAATAGAGGCAAACGTTGTTAGTTGATACTCAAGTGCCCCACAGTTTCCGCCCACCAAGATTTCTCAAGACCCAGCCTGGAAGCCTCAGCCCCGCCCAAAAAAGGAACGACAACAGGTGGGTGGGGCGAAGGGCTTCCCAAGAGGGGCTTCTTTGAAAGAACACATAGGAGGAGCTGCCAATCAGCGGATTGCAAAACTAGGGCCCTGGCCTCTTTACCCTGTTAACTCGACCTCCAGCCTGGCTCACCTCCGCCATCTGTCTGGTACCAGTGAGTGTGACGGAGCATCCCCCATCTCCAGGTTCCCAGAACTCCCTGCTTCCCCCCACAACCCCCACGCAGGCATGATGGGCAGACACTGGTCCCACTGAATCCCCACTTCCACCCTTTGGGGTGGGACCACATCCATCTGGTCAACATTCCCACCTCAAGGGGCTAGGAAGACCTGAAAGAGGGAACGTTTCCAGGGGAGGTTCCCGCTCTCTCCTACTTCCCAGCCCACTTTCCTAGGACTCACCTCCACTGCTGGTCTTACCTCCATGGCTGGCTCCCTGCCACGCGCTCCTGGACCCACTTGTCACTTGCAGGGCTTCCCCTGTTTTTTCTTGTTTTGCTTTCAAGGAAAACAAATTTATTTTGCTCTTTTAATACAAAGAAAATTTATCTCCTTCACATAAAACAGGAAATATTGCTAAATACAAAGAAAATAAAAATCACCTACAATCCTTCCCCACCCCACCTACCTCCTTCTATCCTGCCCAGTGATAAACAAAATGCAAAGTTCCTGTTAATATCCAGTGGTTTGGGTATTAACACAAGTCTTAATGTATTCTTTTCTTTTTTGAAACAGAGTCTTGCTCTGTCACCAAGGTTGGAGTACAGTGGCATGATCTCAGCTCACTGCAACCTCTGCCTCCTGGGTTCAAGTGATTCTCCTGCCTCAGCCTCCCAACTAGCTGGGACTACAGGCATGTGCCACCGCACCTAACTAATTTTTTGTATTTTTAGTAGAGAAGGGGTTTCACCTTGTTAGCCAGGATGGTCTCCAAAAGTACTGGGATTACCAGCTTGAGCCACCGCACCTGGCCCAATGGCATGATCTTGACTCACTTCAACCTTCACTTCCCAGGTTCAAGGGATTCTCCTGCCTCAGCCTTCCAAGGAGCTGGGATTACAGGTGCCCACTACCATGCCTGGCTAATTTTTTTGTATTTTGACTAGAGATGGAGTTTCACTATGTTGGCCAGGCCTCCCAAAGTGCTGGGATTACAGGCATGAGCCACTGGCCTGGCCAAGTATTAATGTTTTCTATGAAAAGATTAGGATGCCAGGTGTGGTGCCTCACGCCTGTAATCCCAGCACTTTGGGAGGCTGAGATGAGCAGATCCCTTGAGCCCAGGAGTTTGAGACCAGCATAGGCAACATGGTGAAACTCCATCTCTACTAAAAATATTAAAACTAGGCCAAGCACAGTGGCTCATGCCTGTAGTCCCAGCACTTTGGGAGGCTGAGGCAGGCTGATCCCGAGGTCAGGAGTTGGAGACTAGCCTGACCAACATGGTGAAACCCAGTGGAAAGAAAGAGAGAGAGAGAGAGGGGGCGGGGGGAGGAAGGAAAGGAAGGAAAGAAGGAAAGAAGGAAGGAAGATAAAAGCTAGCCAGGCATGGTGACATGTGCCTGAAGTCCCAGCTACTCGAAAGGCTGAGGTGGAAGGATTGCTTGAGGGCGGAAGGATTGCTTGAGTCGGGAAGGTCAAGGCTGCACTAAGCTGTGATAGTGCCACTGCACTCCATCCTGGGTGACGGGGCAAGACCCTGTTTCAAAAACAAGAAAATTAAAAAAACAAAGGTTGAGAGTAGTGGCTCACTCCTGTAATCCCAGCACTTTAGGAGGCCAGGGTGGGAGGGTCACTTCCTGTTCCTCATGTAAATAGATGGCTGCTGGGGCCACCCAATTTGTCCTGCCCATGGCTAACACTCAGCAGTCCTCCTAGCCCACCATATATGAACATTGACGACTGGAGTGTACAGGAGTGTGACTGATGAGGCAGGAGGTAGGGCCTTGAGCCCATGATGCTAGGAAAAGGGTGGGCAGGAAAAGGGTGAGGTGGGAAGAAAGAGGGAGGGCAGTTCCTTACTTGCTGTCTCGTGGGGTAGTAACTGGGAGACCTCTGAGCTGTGGCTCAGTGCAGTGGTTCCCTGGCTGGGAATTTTGCCCCTGCTAATCCAGGGCTAGGTTTTTGTCAGAAGATGGATGAAGGAGATACTAGCACCAAAAGGCTCTGGCTTTTTCTGGACAGGGAGGGAATAGAACAATTTGTGTTGAAATGACTGGAGCCGAATTCCAAGCACTTTATAACTAAAAGGAATTATTTAGCTCACATAACTAAAAAGTCTAAATGCAATGGCTTCAGGGACAGCTGGATCCAGGAGTCTAGTATGGTTAGGAGTGCACTTCTCCATCTCTTGATTGTTTTTTTCTGTGTCAGCTTCACTCTCAGCCAGGCTCTTCCCAAGCAGTGGAAAAGAAGGGCTACCCTTTCCTTCCAGTTTAGCCCCAAGGGAAGGGAAATTAATGCCTCTTTCCTATTGGCTCATCCAGAGTTGCAGGGTTGATTCTCATTGGTCCAACTTTAGTCCTATACTCCACCCTAAACTAATCACTGCAGAAATGTGAATGAAATATGCAGATTGGCCAGGTATGGTGCACAAGCCTGACCTGGAGCTAGGGAGTGGGACACAGGCACATGAATTGAGAAGAAGGAGAAAGGAAGTCCCTAAAGGTAAGTCAGGCTTTGGGGAGGGAATCTGGGTAGATGCAAACTACAGGTGTCCTTTGAAGTGAAGACAGGAGGTTTAATCTTAGGCTGAGGTCCTCCAGAGATACTAGACTCAAGTCTATTCAGAAGGCAAGGCCAGGATATGGGCCTGGTGGGCTTTGGGGCATGGGCACCATCCAGAATGAAGGTGTCTCCTGTCCACTTTGATAAGAGAGGCCTGAGGAGGAGGCAGAGAAGCCCCGTTGCAGGATCTACCTCTGCTCCCCCTCCACTGTGACGCTGGTCTCTTTTCCTGAGAACGCAGTGGGGGGACAGTCCTTTCTGCAAGTCTGGGGTGGGACTCTGTACAGAGCCAGGAACTCAAGGGGCTTGCCTGTGAGATGGTGAACTCCTGTCCCAAGTATGCCAACTAGTGTTGGGGTACACCTGAACGATGTGGGACTTGAGGCTACTGTGGTGGGGACAGCTGAACCACCTGGTGCTGGACAGTTGTCTCCAGGGCAGAGGGAGGGAGATGAACTGAATACCCAACTGTCTGCATCTCCAGGAGGTGAGATGGCAGCTGGGCAAAATGGGCACGAAGAGTGTGTGGGCAGCGCATACCTGTTTGTGGAGTCCTCGCTGGACAAGGTGGTCCTGTCGGATGCCTACGTGCACCCCCAGCAGAAGATGGCAGTGTACAGGGCTTTGCAGACTGCCTTGGCAGGTGCGTGGGTGTGCTGGCATGTGGAGAGGAAAAAGTGGCCTGGGGCATTTTGTGGGTGGGGCTGAGGCTGCAGGTCCTCTACTAGGTGGGCTTGGGCTTAACCACCTTTAGGGAAAAGATTTGGGGTGGGAGGAGGAAGACGGAGGACCCCTGGATGTGTAGACTCTGTCCTCTCTTTTTGTGGCATGACCTTGAGGGTATATATGTGTCCTCGAGTCAGTGTATGATTTACCTATTTGTGCACTAACGTCCTTTGCTCCATCCCTGCCCTCTCCACCAGCCAGCTCACTCCTTTCTACTAATTGTGGATGCCTCTCTCCTCTTTTCCTCTCTTACTGCAGCACTCCTTTCTCAAGACCCCTCCCCAGTACCTACCCTTCCAGGCCCCGCTTTCCCATCTCAGGGCAGAGGCCACAGGAGGCTGAAGCGGGTTGGGGGATCAGTTCGTGGCCTCAGAGCGACGAGAGCCCCCCTCTCTTCTTCCCGAGCAGTGGGAGCCGAGCTTGGTGGAGGCTGAAGACCTGAGACCTCCCGCCCTCCTCTGCCCTGCTGGCCTCCTACCCAGAAGGCTTGGTAGCCTAGGGAACACGTTTCCTTTTCTGTGCTACAAAGTCACTCTCTTTTGCCAGCTCTCATTTGGGACATGGGAGCTGGGGCTAGGTGGCACCCACTCTGTCTTGGGGTGCTCCCTGTGATAGGTCCTGGCCTTCTTTCTGGGTTGTTGCTGTTTGCATCCCAATTTTTGCTTTCCATCTGGGTACTCCAGGGTAACTGTACCCTAGATCAGGGGATGGGACGGGGCTTGACCACGGGAGAATGACCGAGCTTGGGGACCGTCTGGCGCCTGACCTCCCGGCGCCTGACCGCCCGCCTCCGCAGAGAGCGGTGGGAGCCCGGACGTGCTGCAGATGCTGAAGATCCATCGCAGCGACCCGCAGCTGATCGTGCAGTTGCGATTCTGTGGGCGCCAGCCCTGCAGCCGCTTCCTCCGCGCCTACCGCGAGGGGGCGCTATGCGCCGCGCTGCAGAGGAGCCTGGCGGCCGCCGTCTCCCAACACTCGCTATCGCTGCAACTGGAGCTGCGCGCCGGCGCCGAACGGCTGGACGCTTTGCTGGCGGACGAGGAGTACTGTTTGAGTTGCATCCTAGCCCAGCAGGTGCGGCCGGGCTGGGGTCAGGATGGGGTAGGGCAGGAATCCGAGGCCCAGCCCCTGGTGACGGCAAGTTCCCTTCCCTTAGCCCGACCGGCTCCGGGACGAAGAACTGGCTGAGCTGGAGGATGCACTGAGGAACCTGAAGTGCGGCTTGGGGGCCCAGGGTGGCGACAGGGAGGTCTCTTTGGACCCCTCTCAGCTCCCCGTGCCCTCTCTGTCGGAGGTGAAGCCGCGGCCGCCTCCAACGCCTGCCCAGACTTTTCTGTTCCAGGGTCAGCCTGTAGGTGAGGGGCAGGTGGAGAGGCAGGGTCACCAGGAGATTGGAGTCTGGGGAGGAGCAGTGTCGTCGCCGGGTGGGGATGGGTGGGATAGGCGCTGGGGCGCCCCCCTCACCCCGCTTCCTCACTCCTTCTGCAGTGAACCGGCCGCTGAGCCTGCAGGACCAACAGACGTTCGCACGCTCCGTGGGCCTAAAGTGGCGCAAGGTGGGGCGCTCGCTGCAGCGGAGCTGCAGAGCGCTGCGGGACCCGGCGCTGGACTCGCTGGCCTATGAGTACGAGCGCGAGGGGTTGTATGAGCAGGCCTTCCAGCTGCTGCGGCGCTTCGTGCAGGCCGAGGGCCGCCGCGCCACGCTGCAGCGCCTGGTGGAGGCACTTGAGGAGAATGAGCTCACCAGCCTGGCAGAGGACTTGCTGGGCCTGACTGATCCCAATGGCAGCCTGGCCTAGACCAGGGGTGCCGCCAGCTTTTGGAGAACCTGGATGGCCCTAGGGTTCCTTCTGCTGCTATTGCTGAACCCTTGTCCATCCACGGGACCCTGAGATCCCACTTGGCCTATCTGCTGGACCTGCTGAGGCAGGGTTGACTGCCTTCCCCAGGAGCCAGACCAGCACCCACCGAGCCCCCTGGGGGTGCACCATTGGGGATTCTGCCTCAGGTACTTTGATAGAGTGTGTGGGGGACCTGCTTCGGAGATCAGCCTCACCTGTAAGGGTTATTGCCGAGTTTAGAAAGAGGAAACTGAGGCCAGTATAAGAAAATTAAATGCCAATTTATTCAGCTCCTGGGCGAGGTTCTCTGGTCTGGGGAAAGGGGGCCAGAGAAGTTGCGCTGGCTTCCTGGGGCGTGGGGTTTTTATGGCTATGAGGAAGGAGCAACGGCTGGGTGCTCTGATTGGCTCCAGGACAGCGGGATTGGGACGGGGTGGGCCACCATTGGTTGGCAGGCCGCCATTGGTTGGCGGGTTGTTGGGTGGGTTTTCTGGTTCGAGAGCTGGCCAGAGTTGCACCGGCCTGGAGCCTTCCAGGGGAGCCATGCGGCAGAGCTAGGTGCAGAGGTGGGTGTGTCTGGCTTCCCTTCGAGGCAACCCGCCTTACATTCCAACCCTTTTGAAGATACAGGTTGCCGCTTCTTTCTGGCTACTTCCTGCTGAATAGGGGTGGAGTGAGGGAGAAGGGTCAGTTGGCTGGTGCCTCTGTTGGGAGTCGGACATAGGGGTGAAGTAGCATCCAGTTTACGGCTCACCCTGGAAATTTCTCTCATGCGGGCCTGTAAAAACCTGAGGTAAAAAGGGGCTAGCATTAACAGAAGACAAACTAGTTTGAGAGTGATAATAGGGGTTAGCCAGGTTAGCATGGGGGATTGCCACCAGTTAAGAGGCAAGACTGATGCATTCTGCTTCTTGCGGAGGTCCTCTCGGAGGCGATAGTGTTGACATTTTCTTCTACAAGGCCTGTTTCATTGAGGTAATAGCAGCACTGCTCCTGAAGAAACAGACAGATACCTCCCTTTTCTGCTGTCCACAGGTCAAGGGCCCATCGGTTCTGGAGAGTTACCTGGGCCAGTGACGTGATTTGTCGCTGGAGGGAGGCCAGGAAGGTGGCTGACGCTTCGATAGCCACGCGAAGCTTGTCCTTTAGTTGAGTGGCTGAGGTGATACTGTAGCCTAGGGCGCCAGTACCCAGCCCGGCTGCCACCAGAGAGAATGCTAGAGAGAGACCAACGACCATTGGGAGGAAAACTGCTCGTCTGTCTCGGTGATTAGGGGAGGGTGGAAGGAGGGATAGAAGTTCGGCCTGTCCGTGTACCTCTAACTGCAGGACCAAGGTGACAGGCACACAAGGGAAAGGGAAGGAGGCATTAATAACTTTAGTTAAGGTTCCATTACACCAGAAATAGCCTCCTGGTGGCACGTAGAGGGAGGATTTTACCTTTACTGTGGTGTTACAGTTGGGACTGGAGCTGCTAGCTGTCTCGTAGCAGAGAGAAAAATTTTGAGGTATACTTGGAACAAGGGGCTATCCGTTAAGATGGTGCTGGGTCCTGTAGGTGATTGTGACAGATTGAACCCGGACCCGAGGGGAACTGCAGCTAAGGGGGGGTTGCTGAGAGAGGCACATAAAAAGCAGTTGGTGATATTCATGGCTTTAGTTAAATTTAACATGTTGGCTCCCTGCTGTACTAGAGACAACCAAGAGAAAGGTTGAGAGATGTTATCTGAGGGTTTGAATTGGTTAGTTAGGATGGCTTCATTTTGCAGGATTGTATGGCTTACAGAACTGAGCTGTTCTGTTGTTTCAGAGACGATGTGGGTGTAGGACCGGAATATTAGCCGTGTTCCCTGAGGGTGGCTCCAAGTATAATCTTCATAGACTTTACTGGATCCTCCTGCATCCCAATGGCTGTGCCAGGGGTCGCGGATGTTGAGGGCTAAGGAACCATTGCTGAAGCGAGAGAGCATGCGGTTGGGAGGGCTTGGAGGCTGTGACTTGTGAATAACACAAGAGCTGTATGGGCACCCCCCATAGGTGGTGTTCCACCAATGACAGTAGTCCTTGGTTTGGTCATATAGAAAACAGCCTGTGCCGAAAGTGAAACCCATGATCACGACCCAGTACGGCGCTTTTACCGTGTGGGATGAGGATGGAGACTGTCTGGCAGTTTGCTTGTGCAAGATAATGGGTCCTGGTGGTGGGGCCCTCAGTCCAGGATTCCTGGGTTGCAATGATCCTGATTTGAGCTCTCGGAGGAGAATGTTGTCACCTGGCTGGAGAGGTGTTGTCAGGTGGGGGGTCCTCTGGTCCCAGAATAACAAGGAGAGTGCGATTGGCATGTTCCCTGAGTAAGTGGTAGAGGAGAGAGAGAAAGGGAAGGTAGGAGGCCAGTGGAGGCAGTTGCGCGGGGAGATTATGGGAAACCAGGAAAGGCCTGCCGTACAGCAATTTGAAGGGGCTAAGGCCCACTGGCCCCCATGTGGTGGCCCGGACCCGGGCCAGGGCAAGAGGTAGGAGTGTGGGCCAAGAGAGTTTTACCTCAATAGCAAGTTTGATCAAATGGTCTTTGAGGATGCCGTGGGCCCATTCAACTTTACCCGACTACTGAGGATGGTAAGAGATGTGCAGTTTCCCGGAGATGTTGAGGGACTTGGTGACTAGCTGGACTACTTGGGCCGTAAATGCTGGACTGTTGTCTGACTGGATGGTGACAGGTAGGCCGAAGGGAGGGATGATTTCTTGAGTAAGGAGGGAGGCCTCCTTGTCTGCTGTCTCCCAGGAGGTGGGGAAGTCTTCGATCTAACCTGAAAAAGTATCTACAAAAGTTAGGAGGTAGCGGAGCTTTTTGTGAGTGGGCATATGAGTGATGTCAGTTTGCCAGTCTTGGGCCCTGCGCATTTGGTGAGTGGGAAACTGTGGCCTTAAGCCTCCCTGAGGTGAGGCCTTAGAGCAAGTAATGAATGCCTTGTGTACCTGCTCAATTGTTTGTTGCAGACCTGGCGAGAAAAAGAGGGGCTGTACAAAGCGGTGTAACGCCTTAGGCCCTATATGTAAGGATTGGTGGATTTCAGCAATAATTTTAGGGGCCTGTTCCCCAGGAAGGGCGATTCTGTTATTTAGGAAGATCCAGCCCTGATTAGATTCTGTTCCCCTTTTCAGTATGAGGGCCTGTTTTCTGACAGTGAGTATACAGGCTGTGTGGCCGTGGTAAGGAAGAGAACAGGGGTAGGGGCTAACTTGGCATTAGTTAAAGATCTTGCTGCTGTGTCTACCCGTGCATTGCCCCGGGAGACAGCATCATGCTGGGCTCGGTGTCCTCAGCAGTGTATGACTGCAACCTCCCTGGGCAATGATAAGGCCTGTGAGAGGTTAGAGATCTGTGTAGCATTGATTATGGGGGGCCCCTTTGTGGTAAGGAATCCCCGCTCTCTCCAGAGGGCAGAGTGGCAATGGATAATAAGAAAAGCATATTTTGAGTTAGTATAGATATTTGCTCACTTTCCCTGTGCTAGTTTGAGAGCTCGGGTTAGAGCAATGAGCTCCGCCTTTTGTGATGTGGTTCTGTCAGGGAGGCGACGTGCCTCTAGGGTGGCTGAATCTATGACTACCCCATAGGCTGCCTTTCGCCTCCCGTTGGCTGTTATTACTGAACTTTCATCCACATAGAAAGTAAGGTCTGAATTAGGCAGGGGAAGGTCGGATAGGCTCTCTCAAGGTTTGGCAAGTGCATCCATTAGTTCAGGGCAGGAGTGGGCTGGGGAAGAGGGAAGGGATGGAAGGGGAAGCAAGGTAGCCGGGTTGAGTGGGGAAGTGGGGTGAAGGCTGACTGAAGGATTTTCAATCTTGGAGGTATCCCATACCAGGGGATTAACTACATCAGGAGGGATAGGGGGTTGAGGCAAGGAGTTAGGGCAGAACATGGTCAGTTAGGAGTGGCAGTAGGAGTTGGGCGGATGATGGGCTTGAGTGTGGGGGGCCAGGGAGTTGGAGAGTGGCCCCCACAGTCTGGAGAATGTCTCGTCCTAAAAGGGGGACTGGGCGCGAGGGTATGATTAAAAAAGAGTGGGAAAGGAGTGTCCCTCGAGGACACAGGCTAAAGGATGGGTTTGATTAGGACAGGAAGGCTTGCTGTCAATTCCCATGACTGAGACCTGGGAAGGTATGCTAGGTCCTGAGTAGGAAGGCAATATAGAATAGGTAGCTTCTGTGTCCACTAAGAAGGAAATGGACTTACCCGCTACCTGCAGCGTTACCCTGGGCTCGGCAAGGGTGATGGGGCTCTTCGAGTCCGGTCTGCATCAGTTGTCCAGAAGGTGGAGAAGTTCAAGCGATGGGATTGCTTCCTGCAGACCAGCCTGCCCTCCACATAGAGGTGGGGCGGGGGTGGGCCTGTAGTCCGGGATGGGCAATTACTGCGCCAATGTCCAAGCTGCTTGCAGTCTGGGCAGGGCTTGGTAGGTGTTCAGGGACATGGACACTGACGTGCCCAGTGTCCCTTCTGACTACACCTGAAACAGGGCCCAGGCGGAACGCCTCTGGAGTTCTTGGCAGGTTTTGATGGACCCCCCTCCACCAGGTGCCTGGTGGGCTGCTGGCCTGAGGGCTGCCACAAGAGCTTGGGTTTGGAGGCGTAACTTTTGCTGTAAATGGGCCTGGTGGGTGGCCTCAGCCTTTTCCTCTCAGCCATTAAAAACTTTAAATGCGATCTTTACCAGGTCTAGTATGGGAGTTTGGGGCCCTCCTCAGCCTTTTTAAGTTTCTTTCTAATGTCAGCCACTGACTGAGAGATGAAATGGGTGGCTAGGACTATAGCCCCCGGTAAAGAGACCAGGTCCAGCTGGGTATAAAGGATCATAGCATTAGTTAATCGGTTGAGGAAGGTGGCAGGGTTTTCAGTAGGACCCTGAGTTATTTCCCTTAACTTACCATAATTAACTACCTTTTGGGCTGCACTTTGCATGCCCACTAGGAGGCACTGTAGCATTTGGTCTCGGCGGCAGTGGCCATCTTGACCAGTTTGATAGTTCTAATTAGGGTTGGTCTCAGGGACCGCTGCTGCACCTACTGGCATTTGATTGTCTGTGAGATATACCTAATCAGCGTGTGCCTGGGCTGCCATAAGGATGCGATCATGCTCATCTGGGGTGAGGATGGAGATCAGAATCACATAGGTATCATGCCAGGTGAGGTCGTAAGCCTGGGTGAGGTAGCGTAATTCTTTGGTGTAAGCAGTAGGATTGGTGGGAAATGACCCTAGGTGTTTCTCAATGGCTGATAGATCAGAGAG